TCTACAAGTAATCCAAGTTATATCGAAAAAATCTACAAATAATCCAGGTACAGAAGGAATGAATAGTTATTAAAACTTTTATCATTAAATCACGAGCAACAAGGAAAATAAGCTAATAAAACAACCTAAAATCTCATATTATCTGTGTCTTGGCGTTATAATTGGGGACTATCTTGGTAAAAGTGAAAGCATTTATATGTAAAGAGATTTAATGAACAAAGAGCTTACTTTGACCAGACCAAAAAGTACATCTGTATGAAGCGTGCGTTCATGGGCTTCATCAATAATCATGACCGAATAAGCCCCTAAATCTGGTTCAATAAGAAATTCTCGAAGGAGCATGCCATCTGTCATATATTTTATCTGAGTGCGAGTTGAAGTACAATCCTCAAAACGGATAGAATAACCAACATCGCAGCCTAGCTTTACACCCATTTCCTGTGCCACTCGCGAAGCGACAGACATTGCAGCAACTCTTCTTGGTTGGGTACAGCCTATTTTTTTTCCATCCCTGCAATACCCCTGCAAAAAGGTGAGTAGAATAAAAAATATGTTAAAGGCAATAACTCTTACAGAGGAGATTACGAGAATTTAAAGACGAACCGATTCATATAAGTATTGAGGGACTTGAGTGGTTTTGCCTGATCCAGTTTCGCCCTCGACAATTAATATTTGATGGTCAGCTATGGCTCTTAAAAGGGCTTCACGAAATTGGTAAATTGGAAGAGATTGGCGTACTTCTTGAAGTGACATTTTCTTTTCAGATAAGCGACGTTTTCTTTCTTCTTCGGGCGATAGGCTTTGAAAATCGTCCTTATCTACATTAACTCCAGGCCTTGTAAGTGCCTTGAAAAATTCGATTTCATCGTCTAGGATTAATTCATATTTTTCCTTAAGGCAAAATAAAGATAATTTCAGATATTTTACGGAATTCGTGTCTTTCTTAGCTAATAATATTAAAAAATAAACTAGATGTTATATAGTGCATGAAAATATTAAAATATCAATTTTAGACTTTCAATATTATAAAGTATATAAAACCCACTTTTTTCTTTTCTCGATCTTTTGAGCCAACAGTAAACAATGCTGAATGAACATGCTCGTGTTCCCACTTTTTGTGTTCTCCGTGAGGCCCTTTTTCCCGCTCATCCTCCAAATATTTATCGTCTGGTCTTCGATTTTCAGTTGGTATAAAATAGCGACTTGCTGCTTCAAGGTTTCCAGCCTGCTGATGAGCAATAGCAGTCTCAAAAATAATTTTCTTATATTTTAAGTCCTCTTTCTCCTGTTCAGTCAATCTTAAAATTTTCAAAAAGACAAAAATCATACTCATCCTCATCAAAAAGAACTTCTTCATCTCTGATCTCGTGTTCCAAATCATGAAG